AAGAAGATAGAGAAAACCACCTTTGCATCAGTGGTTACACCTATGGCGACTAAGGAAGCAGTCTGAAATCTGACTGACGAGTTAGCCGTCCGGCTTCCACCACTGATTCGAAGATACTTGCCTAATGTTTCGTCAATTCCCTTGTTTAAAGGGATTACCTGGGTTCCAACCTGGAAGGCACTTCCTTCTTCTTCAATGAATAAGAAGGCTTGTTCCTCGTCGTTTGTTCTCTTGAGTCTAGAGATGTGTGCTTATTTCTCTAGTCTGTTAAGGGAACGACTTACTTGGAAGGGTGATTACCCGTTGTTCAAACTCTTTCCCACTACTTTGTCTCTTTGGGGGAAGGCGGTGTTATATCCGTTTGATAACAAGGAGAGTCAAGAGTTCATAATTCTAGACCATTTTGCCCAAAATCAAGGGCTTCATCGGTCGATATTTGACTACTTTACAAGGTGTCGGAAACTAGTTCCAATCGGGAGGTTGGCTTTCACGGTAGAGGGAGGGGGGAAGCTAAGGATGTTCGCCATTGGTAACTATGTTAGACAAAGGCTCATTAAGCCGCTGCATGATTGGGCTATGAAGGTTTTGGCCTCCATTCCCAATGATGGGACTTATGACCAAGGTGCCCCCTTGAGGTTTCTCAAAGGAGCAACATACTGTTCTAGTTGCGACCTTAAGTCTGCAACTGACAGATGGCCTTGGTTTTGTTGGCTGTTTTAATGCCGTTCTTTGGTCGGGCTGTTGCCTCTGCGTTCGTCTTGAATGTTTTATCACTCAATGTCTTTGATGTGGGTCCTCCTCACATTAAACGACCTTCTCAGGTGATATTTAAGTCAGGACAACCCCTTGGTTTCTATGGTTCATGGCCAGTTTTCGCTCTTGCCCACCACGCTATTGTATGGTTGGCTGCAGATAATGTGTACCCTAGGTTTCTATTTAGGCGCTACGCCATTCTCGGTGACGATGTGGTTATTGGCGACCGTGAGGTCACTAAAGAATATGCTCGTCTTGGGTTCTAGGGGTGACTATAAGCACTCATAAATCCTTATAATCTTCGATCGGGGCCTTTGAATTTGCCAAGCGTTTCTTTGTACGTTGTGGGACAGTAGATTTCTCTCCTGTTTCTATACGTGCCTTGTTAATGCGAAGGTCAAATATAGGTTTGGCTGCTATTGCTCATAAGTCTTCTTTGTTTGATCTTAGAATCCTTATGCGCCTTGGTGGAGCTGGTTATAGAGCGATAGGCTCTATCCCCAAACTTCTTAATAAAAGGTGGCTTCGTTTGAGTTTTATTCTTGATTACTATCGTTATGACGACTCACCGTTAGCTGTTGAGTGGTGGTTAGGGCGCCCTTAACCCCTACTTGATTGGTTTAATCGTCAGTCGCCTCCGAGCCAAACTGACCCCAAAGGAGGTTCAATTGCCTCCAGATCAGTTGGTTGAAGACGAGGAGCTTGAGTTCCTTGAAAGGACGAAGTTATATAATCATATGCAAAGTTACTTAAAGTATCTCAATTGGTATTGTACCATCGTGATGTCTAATTCTCCTAGAATCTGGGATTTGTTAAAACCGCCGCCAGTGGAAGTGCATTCCTTGAAAAGCTGGAAGAGACGTGACGAAACTTTAGCAATGTTTCGTTATGGTTTAGTCTGGTCCATGTGGGACCTTGTCGGACGTCAAGGTTTGGGTTGGCGGCCTGGTATTTTAACATTGATGTTTGGCCCTGGGTTTGACGGACAAATCATTGGAGGAGTTGCCCCACATTATTTTCTCTTGGTCCCCACCCCTGATGGCGGGTGGGGGTAATGTAGACCATCGAGTATAAGACTCCAAGAGAATAGGGACTTTCTTTCCCGGGTGTAGTAAGGGGAATGAAATAGAATGGAAATTCCACAACTAATTGTGATTGAAGCTAATTCAAAGCTATAAGCTAGCAAGTGGCGGTGGGTATATAACCATAAGCCGAAAGAAAGGCAACAGAGACAACAAGTCCTGACTTTTCAACAGA